TTACTGTATACGCAGCAAAGCCTGCTCTGGTCCACGTTACTGTACACACAGCACAGCCCGCTCCCAGTCCACATTTCTGAACACCCTGGTCCGTGACATTGGTTACATCCTTCCATGGGTCAGCATCCTCGTGACTTTGTTCTGGTAGTTTCACTGCTGTTGACTGAAGCTCCCTGCCCCCGGCCTTCTCGTCTGCTCTGTAGAGTAGCTGTTAACCCTTTGGTCTTATGTAGAGATTTTTTTTTTCCCAAAAGAACACAATTGTTTTGGTTACTTTGTGCTGCTCTAACAGAAAATACCAGAAGTGGGATGCCTTGTTCAGGAGTTTATTCTCTTACAGTTCAGGAGGCTAGAAGTCCAAGTTCAAAGTGCCAGCTCTAGGGGCTGGGTGAAAGCCCCTCGACCTTGGGCTTCAGCTCTGCCTCTTGCTGCCCGCCCACTGAAGCTGGAGACTTCTCTTCACTCAGGCAGCTGCTGGCTGCTGAGGCTGACAAGCCCAAGGTCAACAAGTGAAAAGCCACAGTCCCAATATTACCAAACCACACGGCAGGCCATTGATTCCTTAACAGTCCCAAGATCAGCAGACAGTATGGCTGCTGAACAACAGCTCGGCTACATGCAGGGTCCAAGCGTGCCAAAAGCTGCAGCCCATTCCCAAAGCTTCTCCTCATATATGGGAAGCAGACCACCACATCCCTAAGGCAGCTCTCAGCTGCTCACGGCAGATTCACCGTGGAGTTGATCACCAATCTCACCACGGGGAATAACTATATCCAGCTGCCCAGCTACTCAACCAGGCACAGCCAAGTTGACACATGACCTTAACCACCACACAGTACTCAAGGGTGACAATCCCTACTCTGAGCTAAACTGTTACTTAGCTTATAGGTGACATGAAAGCATCATTTCAATACCAGGTTTGATGAGTAACTCGGAGCCGTGGTCTCAGAGACTCTGCCAGGCTCCAGAAGTCAGTAGTAATCTTGTGTTCTTTTTACAGAAAGGTTCTGAGATGGGAAAGATCTGCTTCATGAGTCTGTCTGGAGAGAGGTTCCGGAGCCCCCATCCACCATCCCTGCTCTGCACCTGCAGCTCTGGGATTTGAACTGGCCGCTGCTGGGGAGCCCCAACCCTCCATGAACATATGCCTTTGTCTCCTAGGGCGACTCAGGAGGCCCTCTGGTCTGCAAAGAGCCTTCCGGAAGGTTCTTCCTGGCAGGCATCGTGAGCTGGGGAGTCGGTTGTGCAGAAGCCCGGCGGCCAGGGGTCTATGCCCGTGTGACCAGGCTTCGTGACTGGATCCTGGAGGCCATTGCCATGGCCAGCAGGCCCCTGGCTTCTACCTTGGCTCCTGTCCATGCCACCACCAGCAGCGCCTCGACCACCAGCCCCGAGAGCCCTGTGGTCGACACCCCAACCAGACCCACACGGATCCCCAGCACAGCAGCCCTGGACTCAGCCACTGCCTCCAAGCCACAAGGTATTTCCCAGAGAGACAGAAAGAAGTAGGTGTCATCACCTGTGCCAGGTCAGGTCGACTGGTACTGGCTTTCGGAAGCACTCTGTGGACAGGAGATGGATGGTTGATTAGTGATGTCTGTCATGGGCACAAGCATGGACAAAAGGTACAGGCTGCCCATCCAGTCATCACTTTTATTTTATTTTATTTTTAATACAATATACATTGAGAGCCATGGTAACACAATAGTTAAGTGCTCAGCTGCTAACCGAAAGGCTGACAGTTCAAACTCCCTAGTGGCTCTGCGGCAAAAAGACCTGGTGATCTGCTCACGTAAAGATTCCAGCCTAGGAAACCCAATGGGGCACTTCTACACTGTCACATGGGGTCGCTAGGAGTTGGAATCAGTAGACAGCACACAACAACATAATACACTTCGTTGTCGTTGTCGTTAGGTGCTGTTGAGTCGTCTCCAACTCATAGTGACCCCATGTACAACAGGATGAAACACTGTCCAGCCCTGCACCAGCCCCACGATCCCTGCTGTGCCTGGGCCCATTGTTGCAGCCATGTGTCATCCATCTCACTGAGGCCTTCCCCTTCTTTGTTGACCCTCCACCTTTCCAAGCATGATATCCTTCTCCAGGGAATGGTCCCTTCTGACAACATGTGAGACGAAGTCTGGCTGTTTGTGCTTCCAAGGAGCACTCTGGCCACACTTCTTCCAGGACAAATCTGTTAGGCCTTTTAGCGGTCCACGGTCCTTTCAGCATTCTTCACCAGCACCACAGTTCAAAAGCCTTGACTCTTCTTTGGTCACTGTCCAGCTTTCACATGCATATGAGGCGATTGGAAATACCACAGCTTGGGTTGTAAGCACCTTAGTCTTCAAGGAGCTATCTTTGCTCTTCAGCACTTGAAAGAGGTCCTTTGCAGCAGATTTGCCCAGTGCTATACATCATCTGATGTCCTGACTGCTGCTTCCATCCGTGTTGACTGCAGAACCAAGTAATATGAAGTCCTTGGCAACTTCAATCTTTTCTCCATTTATGATTTATGATGATGCTGCTTATTGATTTTTGTTTTCTTTTTATTGAGGTGTAATCCATACTGCAGACTGTGGTCTTCAGTCTTCTTCAGTAAGTGCTTCAAGTCATCTTCACTTTCAGCAAGCAAAGTTGTGTCGTCTGCATATCATTGGTTGTTAATGAGCCTTCCTCCAATCCTGATGCCATGTTCTTCTTCATATAGTCCAGATTATTAGATTATTTGCTGAGCATACAGATTGAATAAGTATGGTGAAAGGATACAACCCTGACACACTCCCTTCTTGATTTTAAACCACACAGTGTCCCTTTGTTCTGTTCCAACGACAGCCTCCTGATCTATGTACAAGTTCCTCATGAGCACAATCATGTGTTCTAGAATTCCCATTCTTCTCAATGTTATCTATAATTTGTCATGATCCACACAATCAAATGCCTTTGCATAGTCAATATAACACAAGTAAACATCTTTCTGGTATTCTTTGCTTCCAGCCAAAATCCATCTGATATGAGCAATGGTATCCCTTGTTCCACATCCTCTTCTGAATCCAGCTTGCACCTCTGGAAGTTCTCTGTCAATATACTGCTGCAACCATTTTTGAATTAGCTTCAGTAAGATTTTACTTGGGTGCAACATTGATATTGTTTGATAATTTCCACATTCTGTGGGATCATTTTCCTTTGCAATGGGTACAAATATGGATCTCTTCCAGTCAGTTGGCCAGGTAGCTGTCTTCCAAATCTCTTGGCATAAACAAGTGAGTGCCTCCAGCAGGGCATCCGTTTATTGAAACATCTCAATGAATATTCCATCAATTCCTGGAGCCTTGTTTTTCACCAGTTCCTTCAGTGCAGCTTCAACTTCTTTCTCAATACCATTGGTTCTTGATCATATACCACCTCCTGAAATAGATGAACATCGACCAGTTCTTTTTGGTACAGTGACTCTGGGTATTCCATCTTCTTTTGATGTTTCCTGCATCATTCAGTATATTGTCCATAGAATCTTTCAGTGTTGTAACTCAAGGCTTAATTTTTTTTCTCAATTCTTTCAGCTTGAGAAATGCTGAGCATGTCAGTCCCTTTTGGTTTTCCAACTCCAGGTCTCTGCAAATTTCATTATAATAATTGATTTTGTCTTCTCAAGCTGCTCTTTGAAATCTTCTGTTCAGCTCTTTCATCTTGTCATTTCTTCCATTTGCTTTAGCTACTCTCCAATCAAGGGCAGGTTTCAGAGTCTCTTCTGATGCCCACTGTGGTCTTTTCTATCGAGTCTTTTTAGTGACCTTTTACTTCATGGATGATGCTCTGGATGTCATCAACAATTCCTCTGGTTTTCAATCAGTGGTGTTCAATGCATCAAATCTATTCCTTAAATGATCTCTAAATTCAGGAGGGATGTAATCAAGGTCCTATTTTAGCTCTGATGGACTTGTTTTAATTGTCTTCAGCTTCAACTTGCACTTGCATATGAGCAGTTGATGGTCTGTTCCACCGTCAGCTCCTGGCCTGGTTTTGGCTGAAGATATTGAGCTTCTCCATCACCTCTTGCCACAGTTGTAGTCATCTTATTCCTGTGTACTCCATGTAGTGAAGTCCACGTGTATAGCCGCTGTGTGTGTTGAAAAAAGGTATTTGCAATGAACAAGTCGTTGGTCTTGCAAAATTCTATCATGCGATTTCCAGTATCATTTGTCACCAAGGCCATATTTTCCAATTATCAGTGATTCTTCTTTGTTTCCAGCTTTTGCATTCCAGTCACCAGTGATAATCAGCACATCCTGATTGCATGTTCAGTCAATTTCAGACTGCAGAAGTTGGTAAAAATCTTCAGTTTCCTCATCTTTGGCTTTGGTGCTTGGTGCATAAGTTTGAATAATAGTCATATTAACTGGTCTTCCTCATAGGCATGTGGATATTATACTATCACTGACAGCATTGTACTTCAGGATTGGACAGATCTTGAAACATTCTTTGTGATGATGAATGCTACTCCATTCCTCTTCACTTTGTCATTCCCTGCAGAGTAGATCACATGGTTGTCTGATTCAAAATGGCAAAACTGGTCAATTTCAGCTCACTAATGCCTAGGATATCAATCTTTATGCATTCCTTTTCATTTTTGATAACTTCCAATTTTCTTAAATTCAAACATCGTACATTCCATGTTCCAATTATTAATGATGTTTGCAGTTGTTTCTTCCCATTTTCAGTCATTCCCTATTCTGGTTCCCTAGTGACACTCTGACAAAAATATATACCACCAATGGGACGGCCTTAACAAACAGGAGTTTATTCTCTTACAGTTCGGGAGACTAGAAGTCCAAGTTCAAAGTGCCAGGCTCTAGGGGCTGGGTGAAAGCCCCTCAATCTTGGGGTCTGTCTCTGCCTCCTGCTCCCAGCCCACTGGAGCTAGAGGCGTTTCTTCACTCAGCTGCTGGCTGCTGAGGCTGAGAAGCCAAGGTTGACAAGTAAAAAGGCACAGTGCCCATGTTACCAAACCACATGGCAGGCCATTCACTTAAGTCCATTGTAAGTCCCAAGGTCAGCAGAGCATAGCAGGCTGCTGAGCAACAACATGGCTACAAGCAGGGTCCAAGCGTGCCATAGGCTAGAGACCATTTCCAAGGCTTCTCCTTAAATATAGGAAGCAGACCACATCCCAAAGGCAGCTACTCAGCTGCTTGTGGTAGATCCCACCATGGAGTTGATGGCCAGTCTCATCATGGGGGATAATTCCCACCAGCTGCCCAGCCACTCAACCAGGTCCAGACAAGTTGACACACAAACGTAACTACCCCATGCCCCATCAACACATGAAGGTCCCCAAAGCTTTACTGCATCCACATTATGAAGGTCAACTCTACTCGAGGAGGCAGCTCTTCCCCAGTCGTATTTTGAGTCCCTCCCACCTGAGGGGCTCATCTTCCGGGACTATATCAGACAATATTTCAGGGCTATTCATAAAGTTTTCCAGTAATGTATCAGACAATGTTTCACTGCTATTCATAAGGTTTTCACAGGGCAATTCTTTGAGAAGTGAATGGGTCTTTCTTTCTTCTGAGTCTGTCTTAGTCTGGAAACTCCACTGAAACCTGTCCACCATGGGTGACCCTGCTGGCATTTGAAACACCAGTGGCATAGCCTCCAGCCTCACAGCAACCCACAAGCCACCTCAGTACGACAAACTGACAGACAAGTTCATCTCTCTTAACTGTTCCAAACTGCTCCACTCCCACTTCCCAGCCTGCCCTACCTGTTCCAGCCCTCCAAAGCCCGTCTCTGCCACTTCCCGGCCTCCGTACCTGTCCTCCCCACCCCCAGCAGTATTTTATTTAATAAAATAGAATATATTTTATTAAATAAGTATAGTATACTTTATAGTCAGGAGCTCTGGTGGGCATTTGGCTGCTAACCAAAAGGCCAGTGGTTCAAATCCACCAGCCACTCCACAGGAAAAAGATGAGGCAGTCTGCTTCCTTAAAGATGTACAGCCTTGGAAACCTGATGGGGTCACTATGAGTCGGAATCGACTTGATGGCAGTGAGTTTGGTTTGGCTGTCCTTATAGTATCCACCACCTGTCTGTCCGTTTGTCATACTGTGGTGGCTTGTGGGTTGCTGTGAGGCTGGAGGCTATGCCACTGGTGTTTCAAATGCCAACAGGGTCACCCGTGGTGGACAGGTTTCAGTGGAGTTTCCAGACTAAGACAACTAGGAAGAAAGGCCTAACAATTGACTTCTAAAACAAAAGTTACCAGGATCTTAGGCTGGGCTCTCTAGAGAAGCAAAACCAGCAATAGATATAGAGAGAGGGAAAGAGAGGGAGAGAGAGGGAGATTATCTCCAGGAAATGGCTCACATGGTTATGGGGGCTGGTGGTCCCAAACCCCTAAGTCGGGCATCAGGCTTGGGGACTTCTGCAAACTGAAGAGGAATGATGTTGCCTTCATCGTCAAAAGGAACATTTCAAGCTCTGTCCTGAAGTACAGCGCTGTCAGTGATAGGATGATATCCATATGCCTACAAGGAAGACCACTTAATACTACTATTATTCAAATTTGCCTACCAACCACTAAAGCCAAAGATGAAGACACTGAAGATTTGTACCAATTTTGTGA